ATGAATGCAACTAAATTCCTGTTGAATGAAGAATTTTTGTTGATACGTCGGTAGCAACAAGTTGGTTTATGATCACAGTATTGATAATCTGTGAAGAATATTGCTCGATGGACGTCTTACTTTCAATACATTGTAACATGTTTTTCGCATACCTAAAACAAAAGCGCTCGCAACTCCATGTTTTATCTAGGGTTAAAGGCGGACGTTTCTGCTGATACTGCCTGGTAAAAGCAAGACTTGGCTGGAGACGTATTATTTTACCATAAGGAGTGAAAGGTAAGGGTTTTTTATGTTTGTTTTATGCCTAATATTTAGAAAATGTGCTACTGTCTCAACTATATTTATGTTTTATAGATTCACTACCCATCATGAGTTTTTGCACAGGTCTTACTCATATCATTACTCACATTACAGGAGTTTAGGATAACAAGAGGATTATGGGTTGCTATAGAGCGTCAGCCATGTTCTACAACAGAATCCAAAGATGGTATGGTGATCTTTTCAACAGCTACGGGCAGTTTGTTGGTCACCATGCGGTTGTTTTCATAGTTGTACCCCTGTTGGTCTTTGGTTTTCTTGGACTCGGCATCCTGAAGATGGAGACGGAGACGGATCTGGAGCGCCAGTACACACCCATCAACAGCCAGGCTGTTCAGGACAGAGACAAGATGAAGGCAAGCTTCCCAGACTGGACTGGAACAAACTACAACACATACAGTCTAAACACCGAGGACAGGTACGGTGAGATCATCGCCATCTCAGATGGAAACATCTTCTCCAATACCAGCATTGGTGAGATGAGGAACTTGGTAGATACGATTAAACACTTTACAGTGGAATACCATGGCAAGACTCTCCACTATACTGATGTGTGTGCGCGCGCATCACACTTGTGTGTCATAAGCGGTGACTTCCTCTTACAAGATGACTTCCTGTCCTCTCTTGAGCAAGGGAACATCACCTACCCGGTATGGAACGACGTCGACATCTCCTTCTTTGTGGCAGGTGTGAATGTCTCCGGTGAGAGGCTCGAGTCAGCGTCAGTGATGAAACTTACCTTCCATCTAAGGCAGGACAATGATACGATGAAAGAATATGCACTCCTGTGGGAAGACACCTTCATATCGAACATGTCATCTTTGTCTTCGACATACTTCCCGATTAGTGTATCCTTTGCCACATCGCAGTCACTTGGAGATGAACTGAATGAGAATACCAACGGAGATGTCTTTTGGTTTTCACTGTCCTTCACACTTCTTATAACTTACGCCAGTTTCGTCTCTGGTGGAGACTGTGTGTCCTCAAGAAGTCACGTGGCTAGGGCTGGGGTCATGGCTGCTGGTTTGGGAATACTTGGATCGTTTGGCGCTATGTGTCTCTGCGGTGTCACATTTGTCAACATTGTTGGGATAATGCCATTTCTTGTTCTGTGTGAGTATGACATTGTGTTAAAACAATATGATATGATTATCAAAAAGTAGTTGCTAAAGCATGATTATCCAGTTTGTTAACATATAGTGTCCAGTCTAATGCAATTATAAATCTGCTTTCCAGCTGTTGGTGTAGATGACATGTTTCTGATGGTATCAGCTTGGGCTGACACCAACCGGTATGGCGATGACTGGGATATTCCAAAACGGCTGGGTCACACTTTCCGATTGGCTGGTGTAGGGATAACTATCACGTCTCTCACTGATCTTGTCGCCTTCCTGGTTGGATATTCATCAGTGTTTCTGAGTGTAAAGAACTTCTGTCTCTATACAGGTAGGATCATAACTACAAAGTCACGCAGTAATGTCAAAAACATATTCTGTGCACTTGTGTCATTGGTGCTGATACATCTGATGATAAAATGGTCCCAACTTTCCTTATCCTTGCATATGCATTCAACCTTTGTTTATATATCAATATCCCCACCCCCTGGTATTAAACACTGAATATATATTTATTATTCCCAAGTTTTATATTTACAGGTACGGCCATCATATTTTCATACATTGCTCAAGTGACGTTCTTGGCTGGATGTATTGCAATACATGGACGCCGTGTGGAGAACTCTCGCCATTGTTTGACATGTCAACCAGTTCTTACAGAAGAAGCACTAAAACAGAAATCCGGCTTGTTTCGTTGCTGTTGTTCAGGAAAACCACCAAGAGACAGACAAGACTCTTTGCTTGAAAGATTGCCACCACTTATTTTGAATAAATACCTTATAACCACGAGTGGAAAAGTAGTAACAATACTGATATTCTTAACATATATCGGTGTTAGTTTGTGGGGAGTGACCAAACTAGAACAAGGACTCTTTCTAGAAAACCTCGTACCGCCAACGTCCTACTACTCTAATTACAGTTTAAACAATTATAAGTTTTATGGAACACGAATTCCAGTTTCATTTGTTATAATAAAGGAAACCAATTATTCTGATGAAAATGTGACACAAAACTTTAAAATGCTGTTTCAGAAGATGGGTAATGATGAACACATGAACAATGCAACACAGATTTGTGGACTTCTTGATTATGTGAATTCTCAGTATCTCAATAGGTCATCTTTGTCTGATTTTGTAGCTAATTTCAAGTCATTCCTCACTGTCAATCTGTATGCTAAGAACGACGTAGTGTTTAGTGAATCCGACCAATATCACTGCTTTAAGGTGTCACATGATTTCAATGAATGTCCCCGACTCGATGGATCAAGCCAATCTTATGCTCCGTATGCGAAATCTGGCAGCTGAATCTCCACTACCAGTATTCCCTTACCACCCAACATTCATTTTCTTTGAACAGTTTGTCTCAGTGCTGCCTACTGTTTTACAGACATTGGGCATTGCAGTCGCGGTCATGATTTTGCTCACTATGCTTTTCCTTCCCCACCCTTTAATTGTCGGCTTAGTATGCATCAACATAATGTTGATTTTACTTGGAATCTTTGGTTTCATGCCTCTGTGGGACTTGAGTCTTAGTTCTATCACCATGATTCATTTGATAATGAGTGTCGGCTTCTCTGTAGATTTCACAGTCCATGTGTCGACAGCTTACATGTTGGCTGAGGGAGAAACAAGAGATGAAAGAGTTAGACAGGCTATCATACATGCGGCTGGGCCCATCTTTAATGGAGGATTGTCAACATTTATTGGCATACTAACATTGATTAGATCGCAATCGTATGTGTTTCAATCCTTTTTTAAAATTATGATATTTGTTATAATCTTTGGTATGGGGAATGCTGTTTTACTTATGCCAGTTATGTTGTCACTGGTTGGGCCTATGGCTAAAGGGGACAATTTAAGCCATCGTGATGTAAGTGAACAAAGAGACAAGAATATATGTACCACTGAAGATAAAACAGTACCTGGAAGTGCTTCTGTGAGCACAATTTCATTATCTGTCTTGAACTGAAGTAAACTAGCTTCAACAACACCTTTCGTGTTTTCAAACATAGGATACGTTTAAACAAACATATGACACCGATTGTGAACATTATCATAGTCTATTGAACAGATCATGATGCAATGGATTATGTCGCTAAATGAAAATGAATACAAACAATTCCATTTTTATATGTAATAGTTTATGTTTTGTTTGCCTGTACATATTGCTTATAGTAATCCATTTAAACAACATTTATGTTTGAAGCAGATTCTGTTTTTTTTTGCAATTGTGATTTTCAAAAAAACCCTGCAAAACAACAAAACCCAAAAAACTTTCCATTTTCTCAAAACAACTTTGCCAAAGGTTGATTGCAAGATACTGTTATATAATGAGCATGTGTTTATGAATCACAATGAAACATTGATGAAATCAAGCTCTTGACTTTAACAATGTATTTAAAGATTTATGTAAATTAAAAGGAATAAATTTATTAGAATAATGTTTTGTCGTCAGGATGCGTCGAAACGTCTTTTTCATCAACCTATACTTGAAGTAGTCGCTGTTGTTTTTCAATTATGATTTTAAAAAAATAAAATGAAACCATGTTTCTCCTTAGTCAGTAATTTTAGGGTTTATCCATTTAGTGTTCATTTATTTTTACCCTGACGTTATTGAACATAACCATGCAGGTGGTAGGTTTCTCGAAAACAAGATATCCGGACAAATACAACTGACTGTAAGTATAAGCACAATTAGCCAGCATTTCCAAACAAATATTCTGAAATCAGACAGACAGACAGACAGCGTTTATTTGCATGAAGGCCATCCCTAGTTTTACAGAAAAAGGTTTACAAGTTAGATGATAAAGAACGTTATTTCATAACGGATAACAAAAACTTAATGTTACTGTTAAGATATAATTCAGGAACCTGGCATTATTTAACAGGACATGTTGACATATTCTTTGTAACATATAGTAATCATCATTTGCAGTTCTGGGAATTAAATATTTCCATTCACGATCGTAGATCACACAGCGGTAAATAACATGTATTTCGTCTTCAGTTTCATTACAATGCTTACTCAAAACAGTTTGATCATTACAGCTTCATAAGCCTCTGCGGACCAACTGGACACTGAGGGTGTTATGACCAATTCTTAATTTAGCAGTTGTTTATACTCACAAATATTACTATTTAAAAGATACTGTTCAGAAATTAAATTGAATTTATGAGACAAAATGAATTCATGTGATGTGATGTGATCTCGCGAAGTGCACAGTCAAAGACCCTTTGACTGAACATATAAACGAAAAGATTAGTATCACCTACATCTTGTGCAAACCAGACGTAGCCAAAACCATAAAGAAATGTTAAACATAAGTTGCCCATATTTGGCGTTTTCTGTCGGCCGTCAACAGTAACATTATAACATTGAAATGGAAATGGTTTCATGTACATTTGAAGCCATTACTTCATACATGAAATATGGTATGCCATGACACTCTACTACATTCTCCAAAGGCCGCCACAGGCTGTCCTATACCCTGTATATAACAAATATTTCCAAAAGTTTCGGTGAACAATGTCAAACTTACTTTTTAATTTATTACTTCTTATTAAAGCAGGAACTTGCCATATTGAACAATGGCTGATGGAATAGCCATTGTTGGCATTGGGTGCCGGTTTCCTGGCGCCACCTGCCTGGAGGAATTTTGGGATATCCTTGCAAAGGGAGAGAACCATGTGGTTGACATCCCCCCTGAGAGGTGGAACATGGATGCCTTCTATGACTCTGATGTCAATGCTGTAGGGAAGAGCTATGCTACGAAAGCAGGGCTATTAAAGAAGTGAGTACAGAAGTATTATACGTCAGTCATCCCCAAAACGCTTGCATAAAATACTTAGAGAAACGTTTATTAATTCAATACAAAGTAATGTCGAGGTGAAGTTTTGTATGAGTTTGTACTAACATAAACATTGTGCCCTGTACGAATATACAAATAATATAGAACTGATATTTAATCCTTCAGCTTCGATCACTTCGACAACAAACTTTTTAAAATCAACGAAACCGAGGCTGCCCAGATGGACCCCCAGCAGCGCCAGGTGTTGGAGTGCACGTACATGGCTCTGGAGGACGCCGGCATCACCAGACAACAAATAGCAGGACAGAAAGTGGGAGTCTACATAGGTTTGTTCGTACCAAAGAGTTCGGAATTTAGATTTTAGTCGTGTGTTGTTTAGTACTCATATTCAATATATAATCTTTACAAAAAGTTAAGCAACTCAAAGTTTTAGTCTCATTACATTTTCATTTATTGACTGTCGAATTAGGGGACGATAAGCCTGTGAGTGAAGGCATGAATTTGATTGGATAAACCAATAAACACCACTCAACAACAATGTCAAGTATTAAGATTATAATGACGTTGTCATTCATTAAGTTTTATAAGTCATTCGAAACAGTCATCTTTGTGATAGTGATATGCTTAAATGTTCTTTGTATTGCATAAGTATACATCTAAAAAAGACACACACGGGCCAGAAATAAGATGCATTAAATCTATTTAAGTGTACATAGGTCGCTTAAGCTTGAACATAGATCAAGGAAACTCGGAAACAGGTGGCGTTCAGGTCAGTACCTAGCAGCCGTCACTTTTCGACCTCGCTTTGGAAGGGATTACACAATTCGTCGGATTTTGCTTGGGGAATTCTTCTGAGTATCGGAGGACGATGGTGACGTTTACGGACGCGTCGATCAAGTTCGTCCTATAGATGCTCGGTCGGGTTCAGATCCGGCGATTTGGAAGGCCAGGGAATATTAGTGACGTTCGCATTGGCCAGATACGCACCTGTTACACGAGCTGTGTGGGGTCGAGCGTTGTCGTGTTAAAACAGCTCCCTCTGGCGGTTAAAAAGTGGGAGGAGGTGAAGTCGCAAGAATTCAGCGGTTTGCTGAATGCCATGAACCACCACAGCTCTGATCTACCCGTGTAGTGCATGGCAACCCACACCATAATGCTATCTCCACCAAATCTGTTCACCTGTCGAATGCAGTCCACCGCAAAACGTTCGCGTCGGTTCGATAGACACGTTGTCTCGTTGCAGGAGGAAACGTGATTCATTGCTGAACCCAAGGCGTCACCACTTCCCAAGATTCCATGACTGTACCATGTTGCACCATACGACACGTTGTAGGTGTAGTCGTGTCAGGACAAGTCCAACTTTTGGCCGATATGCCCGAATTCCCACTTCTCTCAGACGATTTCTGATGGTTTGGTCGCAAATTCTTCAAAGACCAGGCACCTGTCTTGCAGTGGCCGTAGCAAATCGGTGACGTAGGTGAAACACCCGGATGAATCGGCCCTCAAAAGTGGTCACTCATGGTCTAACACTTCTGGGACGATCTTGGTCGAATTGAACCGTGTATATCGGTGCCATAATCGTGCTGTGGTGCTGTGGTGGACGTCTTGCAACGACAGACTGTGACTCCCCTGCTTACAATCGTTCAATGGCGATATGTTGGTCAATGGCATTTTGTATCTTCGTTTACGTCGTAAATTTCGTAATGAAATTTTGGTTGGCCTTTTATAGTCGATGTCTCAACTCATGTTTCCGTCACTTTGCACGTGCATTACGTGGAAAACTTTGTCTGCAAGCACTTTTCATGTAATGTTTTCATATTTAAAGACAAACGTTTACAAACCATTTTGGGATGCGTTTGCGAGCAATGCACAACAACCATGGCATGACTAACGAGATTCAAACATAGGAATTGTGTTAATGACGATTGCTATAAACAATATATGGAAATTAACTGCTGAAAAGGCCTGTGCGTTTCTGGGTTTTTTAAGGGTGTATAATCATATGTAAAACCTGTATGTTCTAAACAGTAAAAATAAATTATTAAAGGTTCCATGACGGTGGATTATGGGGATTTGATCTCTACCAAATCACAAGACGTCACCAACCACACTGTGACAGGCCAGGCCAGGTCTATAATATCCAACAGGGTGTCCTACGTGTTCAACCTAACAGGACCTTCCATGACCATAGACACAGCGTGTTCCTCATCCATCGTGGCATTACACCAGGCAGGACTGGCACTCAGGGCAGGTGGGTGAAGATTCACATGACGAGCATTCAGAGTAGATGGGAATACCAGATAATTAAAGCTAATCAGAGGAGGTGGGTAAAGCATAACATCACGGGTACTCAATGCAGCTTGGTACAGAATATCATGACTGGAATTCAGAGTAGTACTGTAGTCAGCTCCTGCCATGAAACAGAATATTATGTGGCATTGCACGAACCAACAAAGGCAGTCGAACTATTTCAGTGATTTAAACTTAGGTGACTATATATCTACAAATGAGATAGGTTATGTGATATCGAGTCTCCTAAGGATTACATATGTGAGGGAAAGAATCAGTCAACATGTAATGAGCTGTTTTCATTTATCCTCCTTTACATTTCAGGGTCTCGATATTAGAAACGCTGACCACTGTTCATCACTAGTCTCACACCCTATGTTGCCTGACAAGTGCATATGTATATATGTGTTTCTTTTTTAACCTTTGTTTATGTTTATAACTTACAGGTGACTGTTCTATTGCAATTTGCGGAGGTGTGAACATGTTAATTCACCCAGCATATTTTATCAAGTTAGCAAAGCTCAGATGTTGTCTCCCACTGGACAGTGTCACGCCTTCTCAGCAAATGCAGATGGTTACACCAGAGGAGAGGGATGTGGAATTATCATCGTCAAACTCCTAAGTCAGGTATGACACTTGTCTAGGCATTCCCGATTAATAACCTACATGAGGCCGTAACGGATCTGTTTGACATAACCATGAGACCACCATGTCAACCCTCAATCCTCAAAGTAAAGCAACAACATTAATCCCGTTAATTCTATATTTCAGGCTTTGCATGATGGTGACAATATTTGGGGAACTATTGTCACGGGGTTGAATCAAGATGGCCGCCAGGTTACTCCCATCACAGCACCATCAGGGAAACAACAGCAGGAACTGCTCAATGACATCTACACACGGCATGGGATCGACCCGACTGAAGTAGACTATATTGAAGCTCATGGTACGTATGCGTAAGAGTTTTTTCGTCTTTTCCCGAGGTATGGGGCCCTAGTGAATACCAAGGTTATATTTGGACTTCAGTTATTTACGAGTTCGAATGGCAGGATCACTGATTTGTTTCATCCATTTCCCTGTATCCCAGATACGTAGATGATGCCAACCACGTGATTGTCTAATAAGGTTATCTTTAAAGTCACATCAGCAGTATTGCAGATATATAGTGACTTCTCTAATAAGGACTCGATTATTTACAGACCACTGTGACATTACTAGAATATTGCTGGCGGTGGCAATAGAGCCTTATCGGTTTCTGAGCAATATGTAAGTTTCAGTTTTCCGTAAATTTACCAAACAAAACGTTAAGGAGACTGAGTGGAATCTTAAGTTTCCATATTCTTTCATTTTGGTTTCCGTTTTCCTGAAATTAATTTATTTTATGTGCCACAATGTTTTATTTGAATTCTGGTCTACACATACACTGAGATCACTTAACCGAAACCTATGTAATACATAGGCAGTTTAACGTAGGTTAATATAGGTTTCTGAATTCTTGGAAATTTATATATATATATATATATATGGAGTTTCTAGTTGCTTTATGGAATGGAAACTAACAATGATAGTTTACTGTAAATTTCCATTTCTGAAAACTAACCTTGTTGGTTGCTGGCAGTTTCCAGTCGGTCGCCGAAACTAACCTTGTTGGTTGCTGGCAATTTCCAGTCGCTGAAACTAACCTTGATTCAGCAACAGAAAACTGTCTGAAACCAACAATCAATGTTTCTGTGAGCGGAAATCTACATGATTCTGTCATTACCAAGTTTCATGTAGGTTTTCGGAAATCTGGAATCCTTGTTATTTTTTCTGTGTAAACTATTAGAAAAAAATATACTGTTGTATCACACAAAAATCTTGCATGCTTCACAGCAGTGACCCAAAATATACCTTGTGTTCCAAAACAAAGAAGGGTTATTTCTTAAATAGTACTTTCCTCCTTCATTGTGGAATTCCTAATGAGCCATCAGAAAGGCTCCAATGGTTTGATCATTTTTCATTTCTTATTCAGTATTGAGATATCAGCACGTATAAACAAACATAACTGACATATTTGTTCTTGCATTAGCTTCAAGTGGCTTATGTATATGTTTTTATGACATATCTCTGATGTCGAAAGTTGTCAACTCAAAACATTGTCTCTTCAGGTACTGGAACCAAAAGAGGTGACCCAGTAGAAGCTTCAGCTCTGGGAACCTTCTTTGAGAAATATCCACGCCAGCGCCACATCGGGTCAGTGAAGACCAACATCGGCCATCTAGAAGCAGCTGCGGGTGTTGCCGGACTCATCAAGGTCCTGTTGATGATGAAACACGGCACCATTGTGCAATCCCTTCACTTTGACAAGCCCAATGAAGCAATAGACTTTGACAGATTTCAGTTTGTAGTACCAACGGAAAATACTGACTGGAAACGTCATAAAAAGATTGCATGTATCAACTCATTTGGATTTGGGGGTAGCAACAGCCATGCTGTGTTAACATCATTTACAATGGAAACACCAGTTATGAATGACATTGCCCTACCAGTTTGTTTTTCAGGCTCCAGTGAGAAAACGTTAAACAAGTCAATAGCAAAATTCACTGAAAGTGGTAACAGTTCTTCTTTCAGTGATGTTGCTTACACTTCATGTATGGCAAGAGAACATTTTCCGTTAAGAAAAGCTTTCTTTGCAAACAACCATTCTATTCTGATATCTCAAATACAAGAAGAGTTACAAAAGAGAAACCAGCCATCTTTTTCGGAAAAAGAATACGTTGTTTTTGTTTTTTGTGGCATGGGAACAGCCTGGGAAGGTATGTGCAATGATCTCATCTCCAACAATGATCAGTTTAAGGAAAACATTTTGGAAATTGACAAATCCCTCTCCAGGTTTGTTCAATGGTCCCTGATGAAGCGGCTCCTTGAATGTGATGATGTGAACGATCCTCTGTTCGGTCCAATAGCCATTTTTGCTTGCCAGGTATCTCTCGCTCACCTGTGGGAAACCTGGGGGGTGAAACCTGCAGCTGTTGTAGGTCAGTCAGTTGGGGAGGTGGCTGCAGCACATGTTGCAGGAATCCTGTCCTTGGATGAAGCTGTGAGGGTCATCTCCCACAGGACTCGGATCCTGGCTGAAGCCACGGGCGGAAAGATGATGCTTGTCCGGAATGTTGAGACAGAACAAGTAAAGACAGCCTGTAGGAAAATTCAGAGCAAGATAGATGTAGCTCTTTATTACAGCCCAGTGTCGTGTACTATCAGTGGGGATGAGAGGGCCGTTCTGTTAGTCAAAGAGGATTTGAAGCATTGTTCAAGTGGTAATGCTCTGTTTCATGAGCTCCCTGTTACAAGTGCGTTCCACAGTCACTTTATGGACTCAGCAAGAGTTCAGATTGATGAAATCTTATCTGATATCAAGACATCTGAGATGACAAGCAGATTTGTCTCGACAGTTGATCCTGATATGGATGAAAGTACAGTTATGTCAAAGATCTATTGGGGCCTAAATGTAAGAAGTCCTGTTAGATTTTGTGATGCAATCAGAAGCACCGCACAAGCATCCAAAATGAACATTTTTGTTGAAATAGGCCCACGGACTGTACTAAAATCACATCTACGGGACATTTTCAGAGATTCTACCCTCTCTGTTACATCCATTCCTTCTCTTCATCCCGAAGCGAGATACGGTGATATTCTCCAGTCACTTATCGTGTTGTATGACTATGGAGTTAACGTCAAATGGGACACTTTCTTTCCTGATAAGATGCAAAAAACAAGCTATCCATCTTATGTCTTCAACTCTAAGCCCCTGTTACTGGTGTCTGAAAGTAAGCAAAAGATGCTAAAGGGTCGGAAGGAAACTGAAGGAGATCATTTGTTCATCAGAGGCAACACAGAGTCAGCAAGCTTAGTCATTGATCCTCAGAGATTCAAGAGTGTTTTTGAACACAAAGTAAAACGAACAATCATTTTACCAGGTGCCGTCTATGCTGAGGCCGCACTTACCTTAGCAAGAATGATTGACATATATCACCTATGTACAATCAATGTTTCTGTGGCCTTCAGAAGCCCAGTCAATCTGAAATCTGGAACAGTGACAAACCTGGATATAGAACAATCTCACAGAGAAGTTGACTCCAGCATTTTGAGTACATTTGTTTTGAAGAATGGAAGGACAGTCCACGCAGAAGCAATAATAAGGCAAACACCTGCGGATGAACCTCCAGAGAGAGTTGACCTTGGGCCAATCAAAGAAAGATGTAAACACTACTTAAGTGGAGAGGAAGTGTATCAACATTTAGAAGACAATGGTTTCAGCTACGGTGAAATGATGTCCGTTATTTCAAGCAGCCAAACAGCTGGAAAAGAAAGCCTCACTGTACTTGAAGTTGGATCTCAGCTCCAGAGAGAAGCAGATCACACAATTCTTCACCCTGCAATACTAGATGGCATGCTACAGACGCCTGCGACTGTCACGCAAGTGATCAAAGATATGCTCCCATACTCTGTAGATCATTTGATAGTCAAGAGGAAGACAGAAAGAAAAATGTTTGTGTACTTGAAAGTATTGCATGAAAGTGAATGGTATGTGTGCTATAGCCTGTCACTGCTGACAACCGATGGGTATGTCATTGCACACGTTGGAAAGTTTACATTGAAAGCCATGGGTATAGACGCGTTTGATGTCAGGAGTGTTGCATACACAATTGAAGCAGAAGAAATACATCCTGAGCATGACTCTGACAGCATAACAAACCTTGTTATGTTTAGTGATGAGATGTCTTTGTCAAAGACCCCAAACTATCCATGGACAGTTCACCATATGTCCATTTTACATGGCGATAGCTATGTTCCAGACCTTCGAGAGTCATCTGGAATAGTAGTAATGTTTCAATCCAAGCCTCACTTTGTTCACAATGGAATGGAAATGGAGAAAGAATTGGAGGAGAAAATCATGCCTCTAAGATCTCTTATACTTAAAATGTCACAGCATGCCATCAAGACACCCTTGCTCATTGTCACAATGGCAACACCATTAGACTACCAAAGCCCAGATAGAAAATCTCATGCACTTGCTTGCATTCACGAAAGTATTCGGGCATACATCAGATGTGTCAGGAGGGAATTCACAAGGCTAAATGTAAAATCACTGGATCTCAATGTTGGTAACATGGACCAATACGACGCAACTATCATAATGTCTGAAATCTCGCAAGTCTTGAAGGTCAAGGGTCATGCTGAAATCGAAAGCCTTCATAGACGATTGTATGGACAGACGTTTCAAAAGGAACCCAACTCAACACCGCCATTTAGACTGGACAGAAAGATTGCCAGTCTGGATACTGTCCTCTATTCAACTTCTTCTGAAGAAATATCACAGCCTTTCTTTACAATGTCAAGACACATGCAAGAAAGGGGCAAAGATGACATTTTGCTTTCTGCACAGTGTGTAGCAGTTCACTCTAAATTCCTGTCTAAACAAGTTCTGTATCCTCTTGACAATGGAGGCTACATGGGAACCAGCAAGGGAAATCCTGTAGTCACATTTGAATCAACTGGCTTTGCACACGGACATAGCAGAAGAAAGATGTACATTACCTGCTATCCACAACAGGTGAGATATGAACACTATGTCCCAATGAAATTTGCACTGAATGTCAAACACTTAGGAGGTCATTTTGAGACAGGATTTATGCTGAAGCTGTACTGTCTATGGCGAGTGTGTGGTGAGTGCAGCATGAAAGATGTGGTTATACTCTACTCACACCAGACAAGGAAATATGCAGAAATGATGGAAATCATATTGTTGTCAAAACAAACCAGGACAGTTTCTTTACTAACTCCAGAAGAAATACCAAGCCACAAAGGACATCATGTTCTCATATCAACTACTCAAATTACAACAGAACTAGCACAACAGATTGTCCTTGCATGTGACTGCCTTGAACAGCTCATATCCTTAGAGAAGCTGATATCACTCAAAGTGATAAATTTGCTAAAGTCTGTAAAGCCAAGACTGAAAATAGCAATTGTCAGGACCCAAGAGTTCCTTGCCTTCTGTCAAATGGATGAACATATTCCAAAGCTATACACATGGATAAAGAAAAATAAACAGAATCTCGCAAAGATATGCGTTTTGTTTAGGGACTGCAACGACAATGCCTTGAAACACCACCACAGTGCTCCTATTAACATCGCAGAAATCCTAGAAACATGGGAGTTCAACATGCAAGAGAACAACAGCGTCACGACAACACAGTTAAAGGTACCTGAGATTCTCTTGTTTGACAGAAGGGGAATGTATCTTGTTGTGGGTGGAATGACAGGACTAGGATGGGAATGTGTCTTGTATCTGGCATCCAAAGGTGCTGGGTGCATTACTATTATCAGCAGACGTAATCCAGATCCAAACAAACAAGATGAAATGAAGCATGTGTCCGAGATGTATGGATGCATTGTTACATCTCAGTCAGCTGATGTCCAAGATATCAAGGAAATAGGATCGGCTTTGAAGAAGCTAGGAACCCGTTTCCCTGCCTATATTTTGAAAGAGGTATTCTTTGGAGCTGCTGTTCTAAAGGATGGAATTCTTTTAGAAATGACGAGAGACAAATTCAAGGCAGCTTCTTCTCCCAAAGTTGCTGGATCCTGGAATCTGCATATCCTGACAGAGCATCTCCCACTGGAATATTTTGTGCTGTTTTCATCAGTAGTATCTGTCTTTGGAAATGCTGGACAGACAAACTATGGTGCTGGGAATGGATTCATGGATGCCCTAGCTCATGTCAGGAGGCAAAATGGCAAGTGTGGTCAGACTGTTAACTGGGGTCCTCTGAATATGGGCATGCTGCAAGAAAGACATATAAAACAAATGGAATCGTTTGGATACGTTCTGATACACAAGAGAAGTATACCTGACTGTCTCACACACATCCTTATGTTGAATAAGCCACAGATCATTATGTGCGGTCTCCAGTTGGTAAAATTTGGACAAAGCCTTCAAAGAGAGACCAATGTGGAGCTGGAGTCTCGATTTAGATCGGTCTTGTCTCCATTTAAGGCAGCACTGTCTTCAGCTTCACCAAGTAATGTGGAAACATTTAACTTTGAGGAAATGAAGAAAATGTCAAAGGAAAATGTTCTAGCCAAACTTGTGAAGTACGTGAAGGCTGTGGTTATTGATGTAGCTATGCTTGACGAATCCTCTCTAGATGTGGAGCAAGGAACCAGAGATCAGGGAGTTGACTCAATGAATTTCATGCAAATTACTGGGAAAATCATGGATGATACAAACGTACAGCTATCATCAACAAAATTGAATGTTGAAAACGCATCGGTGACTCAAATCTCAAAGTACATTTATGATGAATGGATGATCAAAGGGAATGGTGATCAGAAACATGAGCAGTCTCTTCCAGTCAAATATTCATTAGAATCTGACTCAGTTCTTACCTCAGGTGAACAGTTCGTTTTTGACAACTACATGAGAGATCCAAACCATATATCACATTTTTTGATTGTGGAAGTGGAATTGCCTGATGTTTTAGAGCCAACGTCTGTCAAGAAAATGCTCCAGGAAAACGTCAGACGACACCCAATCTGCAGGACAACTTTTCATGATGTGAATGGAGAAGCAAGAAAATCAATGCTGAGTGCCGGGGCTGATATTGACTACAGGATAGGTGATCTGACAAACCATCCTGACGTAACACGTCTCACAGAGGAACGGTTTTATCTTGACCGACAAGGACCAATACGATTTGTCTTTGTGAAAGGAAATCCCCCACATCTCATCATTGTCTTTCACAGAATTGGCTTTGACCACCGGGGAATTACAGTCTTCGTAAATGACTTCATGAATATAGGTCAAGCTTTCTCACAGGGACAGTCTCTGAGTGATGTACAAAGTGCTCCAGATATGCCCATTGGTCCAGAAATAAGGACAATCCTTCAACCAAGATATGAACAGATAAAGGAATTTTGGATAAAAACACTTGAAACAGTTCCATACATTTCCTTTGCAGATAGGGCCGTGTCCTCCACACCACAAATGGACAGTATAAGTGTACAGAAAATTATATCAGCTGACCTGTTCCAGAAGTTGAAATCTTTCACTGACAAAGAAGGGTTGTCACGGTTCAAGTGCCTCGTAGGACTCGTTCAACTTCTTTGGTCAACCAGAGCAAATGGTCAGAAATTTGCCATGTCAACATACGTTGATCAAAGAATCTTTAGCCCAAAGTTAACAACATCTGTTGGAAGAGGAGTTAATTTTACACCACTGTCCTGTGAAGTAACAGATGATGGCAAATTGACAGTTGTTACATTTCTCAGAGAGAACAGTATCATGCTTGAAAAGTACATAGAGAATGGAATATTTCCTTTTGGGGATTTGATGCATTTCCTTCCAGAGGATGACTACAACAATGTAATGACGTCTTTTGTCACATTTGGGACTGATGAGATGAGGAACATGGGTGAAGGAAACGATATGCGAGGTGACTTTGGTGCCACTGTTCGGGTGAAAGCATTATTTGGCCCTAACACAGAACTGTATTTTGACATCCTCAACAGGAAAATGTCCAAGACAATAGCCATTGTCTTGTATGCCCGGAAAGATTGTTTCACAGAGAAACGCATTCATATGATCCTCAACGCATTTTTGGGCTTACTTGAGGACACTCTAGCAAATCCACACATTACAGTCCGGACACTACACTCAAAACCATACATCACACAACTTCAAGACAAGAAAACACGTTTCTGACTGAGTACTTCAATCAGTATGTGAAGTTGTAGCATGTACCATAGGCATTGACTACATTGTTAGTTCATTGTTTTCTCTCACAGCACTAAAGCTGGCGTTTACTTTGTGAAAGAATAGCGATGCTGCTTCAAATGCATGGGTATATTTTACTACAATGTTGAAAGAGAGTGGAAAGAAAGCGTCAAACAGCCTCGAATGGGAAGACCCACTAAAGAAAACGCTTCACATGCTGAAAGTGTATATACTTCGTGTTCGTTAATGTCATGGAATTAATATGAAGTGAGGTAAGAAACTCACATATGTACTTTTTCCTATGTATTTTCGTTAAAAGGTGTCCAACTGGATCTGTACTATGGCATGAATATTATTGTACACATTTGTATTATAGTTATGTTATGTATCACGATTGTAGCCTTGAACAAACAAACATACATGCATGCGCACGTACGTACATACATACATGCATAATACATACATACATACATACATACATACATACATACATACATACATACATACATACATACATACATACATACATACATACATACATACATACATACATACATACTAGTCTATGTCTACGTCTAGTATCTTGAATATTATACAGGACACTCTTATTTGCACATTGTCTTTTTCTGTACATGATATATTTTGAACACAAAATGTTTGTATGTCTTACATCAGATGGAGATTTTTGTAAACACAAGAATGTTCTTTTTTGTATGACTATTTTCATATACTTCTACTTACACGTGGAGGGTGGTGTCTCAAATCTAAACATATACATAACATTCTCGTCAATGTTTATGATATCCTGACAGAGCAGAGATTTGGAGTGTAATGTGTCACTTTGAAATTGGTGGCATCACAAGTGGTATCACAAGCAGACGAAAGTCACTTTGGAAGTATATTGACTTTGTGTGCATTCACTAACGTAGAAACTCTGATGATATGTCAACCAAGTCCAAGATAACTATATTTAACTGTGGATACTGCTCACACTTGCAATGGAGCTATACTTTGTATCTTGGTTTTAGTTAGTCAAATATATACATTATGGTTTCAAATATGTAACGGGTGAATGGCAAAATTGCACTTTCAGTGTACTGATTGTTACATTGAACACTGTTATTTGTTCATTGACTTGTTGTGATGATCTATATATTTCTTTATTGAATTACTGTTTTCTTGTTGACACAAACCATCAACCCCTGTATACGTACCCCCATATTTGTATACAGTGTATTCTAGTACATTTGATGACGTAGATTACTTTTACAACCAGAATGTTCATATTTTATGATATTATTGATATTTTGTAACATATGTTATATTTGGGATTACACTTTCTTAGTTAAGTACAGATTCTAGTACTTAATCGCCAGCACACAAAGTAAGCCGATAATTTTCATGTTTGTAAGATGGGATTTATGGTGTTAGCACTCTATGTACAGTTCATGAAACTAAATGCTTCAGTCACTTTACCAACGTTGGTATATCGGCTGTAAATGATTTTATCACGTATTATTAATTATATAAATAACGTGGCAACTGTTCAAATACATTCAACATTTGAGATAGGTTCTAGACGTCCTAAACGGCAGTCCATACATGTGCCTTATTCTTTATGGTGTTTAATAAAACAACCCATGTAACTTATGCATTACTCACTATTCATGAGAGGATATTTTCCATGCAGCCATATGGACGTCGACCTTTATCTAAGCAGTCAAAACATATCTCGAGATTACACAATTGTCAATTATCAGTTACGTCCATATCATTATTCTTCTATCAGTCTATTTTTTGGAGGTTAGAATTTGGATGAAAGGGATTGTTATATTTTAGATTCTCTGGGTGGATTCCGTGGATAATACATTTACCCTTCAGTCGCTATGTCCTAAAAGGAAGAAAGTCTTAACAGAATAGACAGAAATTGTTATTTATTTTGCCCAATAAAGGAATAGGTGGGAAGATATATATTTAACGATTTAAGTGACATATATTCAAAGCTACAGGTTTGTGTGAAATCTGATTATAGAAGGTCAGATGTATTTAGCACATGTTGAGCCCATTTCTATTTATTCTCGTTATAAATGAGTTAGTTGGGGTTTAAGCAGAGGGCTGCTAGAGGTAAATATGTTCTTGAAACAATTGTTACTGTCAGTTACAGATGATCTTCTTTTGATAGATCTTCTCTGTGATTGGTTTCTAAATGAAAAAGGGATGTTTCTGTCTATAGTTTGAAATGGGGATTAGAGAATGATAATAATGGCTGAGACTGAAAAGAAAACTGTGACTTATTATGAATATATAGGCATTATCTTTTCTTCGTGGTTAATGGGGCTCAAAGTGTATGAAACTATGACTGTACAAGCTAAAGAGACTAGCTGTAAACTCTATAGTGTATTAAGAACTTTGCTAGCTGCTATTGACCTCTGTCAAAATATTGTTTCCTAAAAAACTGCAACTGCCTACTATCAAAACTCGAAAATTCTATACTACTTGTTCATGTTTAGATGTCTGCAGAAATTGTGTCCATCTCAGCACACTTTACATAAATTCAATAAAGTGAGGAGGATGACTTCAAAAATAAATAGCCTGCGCGGATTTGATATGGCACTTGACTTGTTGACACTCATTTCAGAGTAATATTTTATTACTATTTTAGACTCCACCCAAATACCCGACTCAAAATGTAAAGAAACAACCTACAAAACAAGTTATTGTACTGTTTCAAAGCAGTCCTAAATATCTAAAAAACCTCCTTCATGCTAAAATACAATTATTACGGACGATTGTCACTTTCATTAATAGATTCTTTCTATCTCATTTTATTTTATGTTTATGTAGCGCTATGATCATGCATTCGAATTTAACACATAGTTATGAATGATAAATATACTAAATCAATCTGTTCTCATTCAAGAGTGGATATGACATTTTACCAACATTCATCTTCTAATTAGTGAGACGATAATGGACGTAATAAACATTAATTGAATCCCTACGCTCATCCCCAGTTTGTTTGCCCTTATATATCTGGTGTCTAATACCTTTACCCGACTGCATATTCTTTGGATTCAAGATGACCTTATGAAATATCAGGTAAACATGTATGTCCACGTTCATCCATCTAACCCTCGTTTGTTAAAATATGGATATTGTCATAAACGTACGAGCCTACATCACACAAATGCATTAATTTTCTAATTTGTTAAAAATGGCACTAGGAGGTACATTCTGGTAAATGTCTCAAAATAGTTTAGGCATAACGTGTATGATGTTTGGTAAAATAAATATGATGATTGTATTGTGCCTCTTTCTTATATATTTATGTGTTGATAGATAATGCACATTAATGATATTTGTATATATGGACTCTTTCCATACGTTTAAAATCAGTGAAGTAGCGAATCTCTGTGATGACGCAATGCATATCGCGAGCCTCTGCTGTCACTTTTGAGTTCTATTGTTACAAAATATATGTCATTACTATTGTTACGCCTTATGGAAACTGTTCAAAGGATCATGAAGGGCAGTTATTCTCTGGCGTTGATGTCATGTTATGATTCCATAAAATATTTTTTTTAAAATGAAAAAAAGATGTCATGTATGTTTTTAAGAGCTGGGTGTAATGAGATAACGTAGACATGAGGTTAAACATGTCATGTTTGAGAACCACCGACCTTCCGCTGAATGTAAAGACGCTCTATCCACTACATCACAGTTAAGAAAGTGTTACCTGGTTTAATATGTATGTACACCGACACCACAATTCCTTGACGATGTTCTCAATCTCCAGTTTCGTTCCACTTTACATTCGTGGCTATGTGATGTTTGGTCAATACTTTAAATAGAGTATGTGTCTAACATCACAGAAGTATTACAATACATGGATGAACAAGTAACATATGTTATATTTGAGATTACACTTTCTTAGTACAGTACAGATTCTAATACTTTTGTTGGGTTGAGTCCCATCCGGGATTCGAACCCACAGCCTCAGAGTCAGGCACCTAATCGCCAAACCAACCGAACAAAAGTACTAGAATCTGTACTTTACTAGAAAGTCTTATCAAATAAACATTGTTAAATTTGACCACTTTCTAAATAGCATTGTGTATTCATGGATGAACAACTTCATTGTTACAGTGAAAGTAAATGATGATATCCATATATCGTAATCCTTCCTTGCTGCTCGAACCTCTAAATGCCTTTCATAGACGTTTGTGTGTGACATTTACATCACTGAACACATCAAAGTCACTGAAATCAGATATGAATATTAACACAAAACACTAAAATTAGAATACAAATGCTCTCTGGGAGACAAATATTTGCTTTATAGAACTAAAGGGCTAAATATTTGTTGAAAATACAAATAGGGGCTCGTCCGTAATGATGAACTCAACCTTTTGTATCCGGTTGGTGCTTAGATGTCTAACGTGACCTCTTGTGCGGTATGGAGCGTGTAATTGATAAATTTCATTCATTTGTTCACATTTTCAAACTCCCACACATGCTCCCCAGGGCAGTTAACTTACTTTCATCATTACATTAAATGACGTTTTGAACACTACATTCAGATTTGTTTTTTTTAATTCACTGCTAACTGCATTTCTTTATCTCTTACTTTCACAAAGGTACATACGATGTTCATTAGCAACCACTACTGGGCCTCTATTCTTCAATATCCACATAGACAGTTTATTTCAGTACTTCAGGCTCAAGACCCTGGTACGAATGCAGATAACAAATTAACATTTGCCACGTGATTCAGATATTATTAAAATTCGATTACTTTTTTACTGTAAGACAAAATATTATGGTAGTCAACTTCTTCTTTATTGTATACACAACGTTTCTGGGCTTTTCCTTGTCCCTTCGTCAGGTGAATGTTTACACATTTCTAAATACAAACACATTTTTAAAAAATATACAGGAACAGCATGTATCAGATCTCGAGTATCAGAGTTTAAAGATTTAGCATTATC